CCGGAAGGAAAGAGAGCGAAGGCCTCTCCTCCTCTCTTCTTATAATCTGGCTTACATAAAAATCGTAGGGAATACTGGGTAAATCTGGACCCTTCCTTGGTTACAAACTGGTCACCAAGGAAGGCCTAGCCCAAACCACCACAGTATGTGAGAGGAAGAGTGCAATAGTTGCTCCCATATGTTTGCTTATGTAGATGGGTAAATAGCATGTCTGGCTTGGGTTCATTTAATGTAAATACAAAATGAAAATCTCTAAAACCGCTAGCAGTAGGCAACAATTTGCCAATATATTTGCCAGTATTTGAATAAGCAAGCCACAGCTGAAGGGAGAAGATATTCCTGGCAATGCTGAATGTTTTAATTGCATTTAAAATAAGACCAAATAAGAGAAGAAATCTTTTACAAACTGGGAAATGCAAACTGTTGCTGTTTTTTGATGTATATTAGTGAGGTAGAATTTCAGCACTGATGCAGTCAGGATAGTGGCTGATGGAAATTGGTTATAAATGTCTTTGACATAGGAGAGGGAAATTTCTTATTTAGATGATTTGAAAGAAATTTCTCCATCCAATTCCTGTCATAAGCAGAGAAATTATTACAAGAATGAGACCTATTGTGAGAGAGATGGTTTTGACAGATTTTTCAAAAATGGATGGCTAAAGATGCAGGTTAAAAAGATGCAGAAGAAACAGGGGAAAAATACATCTCTTATTTGTGTGACACCCATGTGGCCTCTGTCACTGGCAGTAGCTTGCCATCTTCTGGTCCTCTTACATGTGGCAGGCAGAAGCTTTGTTTCTGTTTTCCAGTCAGAAACACAGACACAAGGAGACACTATCTCTGCACTGAGGTGATACTGTGAGTTAACCAGGAACATAAATTTACAGCATCCTGGCTATTCCACACTAGCTATTCCAAACCAGTTCCCCTAGCAGTTTTTTGGGTACAAGTAGTACTCTATTCTCACTGTGTCAAGTGAGGTAGGCCATTCCATGTTCAAAATGTCTGTGCAAGAGAATAATGCCAAGAAATCAGTGGTGGAGAAAATTCTTATGCAGAGATACTTAGCAGTGACTTTTCCTTGACAATTTAATTTTTAGAAGGATTAGCTAAGCCCCTTTGATAGAAGAACTTTTCTAATGACGTAAGCTACATAGTAGCTTATGATTAAGAATTTCATTGATTAGCCTTAGAGGACACAAGTATGCACAGCCTAGAGATGACTTCAGTTGCTGTGCTTTGGCATATGGGTTTCAGGCTGTAGAAATACTGAAGCACTGCCTTCATGTGCCCTTATAGATTTGCAATTGATGAACATTAATTAATTCACAGAATCACACACAATCATGGAATGGTTAAGGACCACTGAAGGTCGTCTGGTCCAACCTCCCTGCTCAAGCAGGGTCCCCTGGACCACGTTACTGAGGTTTGTGCCCAGACAGCTTTTGAACATCTCAGGGGAAGGAGACTCTACAACCTCTCTGGGAAATCTATTCCAGTGCGTAGTCACACAGTGTTCTTCCTCATATTCAGGTGGAACTTCTGTACATCAGTTTCTGCCCATTGCCTCTTTTCCTACTGCTTGACACCGCTGAGAAGAGCCTGACTCCTTCCTCTTGAAACCCTCCTTTCAGATACTTATATACAATGCTTTAGAAAAAAAAAAAAAAGCCTAAATATGTGAACATGGAAAATTGTAAAATGGTTAAGGAAATTAGGTTGTCAACAAGAAGATATTTTTGATACAGTGTTCAGCATCTAAACATGGTAAAACTGCATTTTCAGAAATTTCTGCAATTTAATTTCATAACTGCTTCTTAGAAAAATTAATTCCATATCTATGTTTTTAATTTGCAGGTACATTGAAACCTTGAAGGAACACAAACCAAAAATTATCTGGGATGAACAAATTGCTGAACACTACTTTGAATATAAAAAGTGAGTTACATTTATTAACTTACCATTCTGCAAATATTTTTGGGTACCACCCAGTGACTATAGTATGCTACTGAATTGAACAAATGGAAATTCTGCTCTTTGTGATCTGTATGTCAACACTGAACTGCAGCGCAAAAGAGTACTTCAGAAAAGAGAAGAAAATCAGAGAAGGATTAATGAAATTACATAAACTAAAACAAACTTTGGAAGACAAGTCTGATGAGTCACATCTCTAGAAGTTATCCATCAAAGTTACCTGTTGAGTCTCAGTTAATCAGAGCCTCTGAGATTAGTACTGTGAGCTGTTGGGCAATTACCAATAACTTGGCCAAAAATAGTTCTGAGAAAAATCTGTGCTACAAGAGCCTGGTTTTACAAGTCCTACTGATAAGATTGTTCAAGCAACAAACTTCCACTAAATGGAATAGACCATAGAGAAATGTAATAGGAATAAAATTGACTCCCAGATAAAATTTTTAGAACGACTGAGAGCATTAAAGATTATAACTTTCTTTGTCCTCCCTTTTTCATAATGGAATGACAAGAGGATTCCTGATCTAGGAAGAATCCATTTAAAATAGATTTAACACCCCCACCTCCCCAGAACATCTTATTAATTCTCTGATAATTTGCTATTTTTATGCAAATATACAAAAATATACTAAGATAACCCTTCGAGCCTGCGCAGTGGATTTTTTAGGTGAGACACAGCGTGCGCTGAACTGAGCCCACCCTTTAATCCTGAGG